TACTGCTTCAACCAGTCTAATCTGTTACCATTCTAGTTCCTTATAGTGTGCATTTATCACTCCAACTGGAAGTTTTCCTGCCTCATACATGTACATGTAAACGGGTATTAAAAAGTAATGTATTGTGCACACAGGAAGCAAGACACACTTTGCATTTCACTTCACTTGCAATGTTGGATTTCATTTCTAGTGCCGGTGTTGTGTAAAGAAAAAAATGCATTTTTTGTTGTATGACACGCTGCAATTTTACTTAGAACATTTCCTAACATTTAGTCACAATATCATTTGCAGAAAAAACCAATCCAACAAAAGTAATGCTAACTTTCACCTTAATCTTGTATCATGTCTCTTTGCAAACAAAATACGCTATTTCTCAAAGAAGAAAAAAAGACCTCAACAAGATCCAGCATGTCCTAAGTTAGATCTACTGAGACAAATTTTGAGCTGACCGTATTATAAACTGACAACCTTAAATTACTGGCTTACAGTACGGTTCCAGACCAGTGACCATGAACACCTGAAGAAATATCTCCACGGAAGATTGCATTAGGTTTTAACCTTTGTTTCCAAATTCAAGAGACAAAACTTCACTTCTCAAAAAAATAGAAAGTTATCTTTGAGATTGACAAATGTGACCTGCATGGAGCATGACAGTCTTCAGTCCAAGGCAATACCTCTTGCTTTATTATGTTTCAGTTGGTTTTTCAGTGGGGGAAATATGGAAGTCAATACATGTACAAACATGGTGCATATAGATATTTTCTTTAATATCAGGAGCAAAAATTTGCTGATATAAAATGTCACCATCTTACTGCTTAAACAGTATCCTTGTCAAGCATGATAATATTCAAGCAAGTTTCAGTAATTTCATGCATACCTGTATCTTGTTTCTCTAAATGTGTCGTTTCGCGGTGTGAATACTTCAAACTGAGTGAAATCTTGACCTCTATATTCCAATACTTATTAGAGTTTGGAATTCCTGGCAGCGGAGTTAAACAGTTGACTCATTGTGAATACACCAAGAGTTTCAACTGGGTATTTGAGTTTGGAATTCCTGGCAGCGGAGTTAAACAGTTGACTCATCATGAATACACCAAGAGTTTCAACTGGCTATTTGAAAATANTAACCATCAAGTGCATGTTACTGCTTTAAGTTGGACTACTTGAAACCAGACCGATTTACTACTATAGCTGGCCACCATCATTTACATTTTCCTGCCTCATAAATTGGCCCAAAAATGTATCACAGGCAAAACAGGCTTCAACTTTTCACTTCTGCATTGTTGGATTTCAGTCTTCAAGGCCAAATTCTTGAAAACAGATTTTGTTAAGTTTTTAATCGTTGCAATTTTATTGACTAAAATAGATAAGATCTGTCATCACAGAGTGACTAATTTCTTCTCAAAGTTGGATTGCTTAAAGCCCATGGACATAAACCTGCTGTGAAATATCTCTATTGATGTAGACTCCATGTGGTTAACATAAGATTTACCGGTAAGATTTGAAACAAAACCAGTTCATGTCTTCAGAGTTTTTAACAAATAGTTTAGAGACTGTCCAAACTATGTGACCTGCATGGAGCGTGATAGTCTTCAGCCTAAGGCAATACCACTCGCTTATTTTTTTTTGCTTAGTTTTTCCCAATTAACTCGGACTGTGTGTGCAGAATATGACTCTTTTTTTAAAAGTATTGGGGCACCAATTCTTGTGTTGGTAAAAAGCCGACAGTCTGATTCCTTAAAATAGTGTCTTTGATAAAGCATGAAATGGTTAAACTCAATTTCACTTGGACCATGTCTATTCAAAACCTCCAACGTGCCACTTCAAACTGGGGTTTGGAATATCAATAGAGGAGCAAGAATGACTGGCTCTTGAGGTTTTTTTTAACAGAGAAAATATACCAAAAAGACAATTAGCCTTTGCTTTGAGCTGCAAGTATGATATTGCAGAAATAACCATAACTTTCAAAGGAATTGTTTTCACCTTCCTTAATCTACATGTGCTACTATACTTTCCAAATAGGATTTGTATTTTTCTGCAAAGAAGTCATGTTCACTCAAATTGACTGAAATTTAAAGATGGACATGTCCACCAAACCTAATATGGCCAAGTTGCCAAAAACGTTCTTTGTAGATGTCTGGAAGTTGGCCCAGGATACAAGAAATGTACTTTTCACATGATGAAAATTATTTCTCTTAAGTTAGGGCTGCATGTAAATTCTGTGATCTGGTCATTTAGACAGCCAAGCGGCTGATTCAGTAAAAAGTTACACCAGTACATGTGATTTCTTACTACAGTCTGGAACAGAATGTTTTCAATGCACACTATACTTAGGGTTATTGATTTACTGTACACTTGATCAAGGCACTGACCATTCCTTCAAATGAATAAAAGGAACTGACTAGTTTACATATCAGCTCTAGCGTGAATGAGTAGTCTTGTCATTCAACAAATCAAACAAATCCATGTAATCCATGAATTTGTTAAATTATCAGGACAATCTAAAGAGATGGCAGTGAGGTTGCAAAGTTGACAGGAGGAGTATTTCTGAAGGCTATCATGTCTCATAAAATCAATTTCATGGGTACTCAACTCTATCGGATAAATTTCCTGTGAGCATCAATTCTGGTGACATGATCTCCATGGACAAGACTCTC